AATTAGTGTGAACTAATATTATTACTTTTATAAATAAAGCATAATAGAACTAAATTTCAGAAATTAGATTGCAATCACCATAGAAGAATATTCAGCAGGGAATAGTGAAAGGCGACTTGAGGTATGGAAAGCATAAAGAAGTTTATGATTCCATAGTATGTAAAAATAACAATAGTAAACAACATAGTAAATGGCCAATTCTGACAGAATTAGTAATGACTGATAACAGCTTCTAAAGTCCAGTTTATTTATAACAGTTTTATAAATGCAACAATACCTCCCAAAAGATTTAGCGTGGCTCAAAAATATAACATTATGTGAATATAAGATAAATTAGATACAGGTGTAAAAGAACAGAAAAAGAGAAAGCAAAGATGCTGTAGTAATACTAAATGAAACTATTATCAGAATTTTCAGAAAAAGAAACCAAACCATAAAATGCTATAGCTTTCACACCAGATGGATTTCAATTTGACTCTAAGTTTTCTAGAGGCCAAATAAAAAGAGAAATCTGATCAATTTCATAATTTACAACATCTATTATAAAAGCAAACCAATTTACTCAGCAGAAGTGCAATTATTCCTGCTACTAAAACCTGAAAGAAATTTTCCCCAAGGGTCATCATAATAGGACAGTATGAAATATAATGAAACATGCCTTGAACAATATCTTTATGATAGATACCGCTAAGAGTTTCATAGAGCTTTAAAATGATATTCTACACTATATACTGATGGTTTAGCTCTATAATTCTGTGCATAGTTTAATATAGGCAGAGATTTTTGAGTAATTGAAAAAGTGAATGGACAAAAATAATCTTTCTAAGATTTCACAAATACTTTTTTACTTTAGCTCTTTAGAAAATGTTGATAGAACTTCTCAAAACATTTAGTTTGTTAATTCACTAAATAGTTATTGAATTTATACAGCACAGTATAAGCCCAAAGGAAACAGAGGGGACAAAATGATTTCCACTAACAGAATTAACTCAGGTACTATGTGATGTTGATGAATTTTATAAACAAGTCACATTACTTCTAAACTATATTATTATGAAACTTATGTAAATAAATAACAGAAGACCTGAAAGAAAGTAAAAGTTAACATCCTCTTGTTGAAGTTAAGCATACTTCAGCTCCCAGGATATACTCCTATCAAGGGTCAGATTTCTCCTCAGAACACGAGTGGGTCTGCTCTCACCTGAAGATTATTGGTCCCTTGATGAATGCTTTATTCTTTTTTAGCATAGTCACATGGCTTTTAAAAAACAGTCATAGCCTCACTCAGATTTTATCTTAAATTGTGTGTCCTATTGAGTCTACCACCACTATAATGTTGTGACCATAACTCATGTTCTGAGAAGGTTTGGTTATATCTTCCATGGAGTTGCCTCAGAAGACATTGGAGGAGGTGGAGCAAAAGGAGTCCAAACTTGTTGGTGCAATGGCACACACTTGTAATCCCAGTGGCTCAGGAGGCTAACACAGGAGGATTGCAAATTCAAAGCCAGCCTCAACAACATAGCAAAGCCCTAAGCAGCTTAGCAAGACTGTGTCTTGAAATAAAAAATAAAAAAAGGAATGGGGATGTGGCTCAGTGGTTGAGTGCCCCTGGGTTCAATCCCTGGTACAAAAAAAAAAAAAAGGCTAAACATCGTTTGTGGAATCTCTATATTCTCTAATAATATACCATACACAGAAGCCTTTTGGCTTAAATGTAGAAAAGGTTTGTGCCATTTTACCCACATTGATCTGCAAGATCAATCCATCTATTCAATAAATGCTTAGTTCCTCTTTTATTTTCCAGGCACTGTGACAGGATCTAGATACACAGTTTACAAAAGACAGGGTCTTACAGCTTACAATTTATAATGAAATCTCAAAGTGCACCAAAGATTAGCAACTGTTTGGTAACTGCAGTGGCAATAGCAACTGTTTGGTAACTGCAGTGGCAAGGATATACAAACTTTGCACTGTGAAGATCTAGTGGAACTGAAGTTAGGTCACATGAGACAAGATAGAGAGCTAGAAAAGCTCATATAGATAGCTATTGTGTCCTTGATATGACAGAAATTAGGAAAATATGGTAGATAAATTCATATTTAAGCAATAGAGTGAATAAGGAGAACATGTTAACAGGGAAAATTTAAAGAGTAATTTTTCTTTCAGTTGTGACTGGAATGTAAGTCAGGGAAAAAAATGAATGATAATCAGAAAATGTCAGATAATGAAAAACCAGAATTCTTAAACAAGAAGTTTGAGCCAAAACAAGGGAGACCATAAAATTAAACAAAATCTTTGAATGATGCCATACCCACGTTTATATTTTAGAAATATCATTTTGGTATCATTGTAGAGGACACAATTGAGACGCTAAGAATAGACTCAGGCAGAGAAATTAGAAGCTGTGGCAATCAGGAAATAAAATAAATGGAAATCTGAGTTGAGCCAAATAAATTGTCATGAAAAGAAGGAGCTATGAAAGATAATAAGAGGTTGGAATATGGGATTGTTGTGACTACTATAGCCTCTCTCTTCTGCTTTTCTTTTTTCCCATCTGAAAAAAACAATGATAACACCTTATAGTGTTACACTTTAATGTAATTTTATTGCCATTTCCTGATGCTTGTATATGTAGTCAAGCTTTTAAAAATGTGAAATGTTATTCTTTTCATATTCACTAAATCTTACACAGCAGAACACTTGAAACTTGAACATTTAATCACTAAGTATATTCTGCCCGCATAACAAAGCTCAACATTATAATCCTCCAGTTATTACAAGATCTGTGCTGTCTCGGATACATTTACACTTCAATTACAATTACAATGCTTTCATCTTAACAGCTTCTAGTTTCTGAAGGATTGAGTCTCAAGGATTATGTTATAATGAGAACAAAGGTTATTGACTACTTTTCTCATTTCTTTCTGAGATGCTTTACTTGCCAAATAAAAGTGAAGCAGAATTTATGCCAAAATGTTTTCTCCCTCCAGGAAAACATAATGGAAGTTATAAGAAATCAGGAGTTTTTACTCCTTCCAGCTGAGGAGCTCCATAAACTACTAGCCAGTGATGATGTAAATGTTCCTGATGAAGAAACCATCTTCCATGCATTAATGATGTGGGTCAAGTATGACATGCAGAGGCGATGCAATGACCTGAGCATGCTTCTTGCCTTCATACGACTGCCACTACTTCCACCACAGGTAATTATGTGTGTTGCTGTTTTCATAGACACAACTTACTGAAAAACTATTTTAAAAAGAAGCATCACAACATGTTTTATCTACTCACATGTTTTAAGTCTTGGTTAAAACTTGTAATTTTGCAAATTATCTATGTACAGCATTGCTAATCAAGGGACTTGGCTTTATCAGCTGCTATGGACCTCTCATCTCTGCTCTCAGCGCAGCCATTAATTCAGGGAAAGAAACTGGACTGGACGAAGAGTATGGGGGCTGAAGAAAAGACAATCAGACACACATAGAGAGAAAAAGGTGGGGCTGGGGGTGACACTGCTCTCTGATGGAGAAGCAGTGACCCAGAGCTATCTCAGCACATTTATTATACAGGATTCATCATCAAAAGTTTATTTATAGTAAAGTTTTAACAAAGCAGACAATCTGAAGTATGCAAGACTGCTAAGACATTAAGGTCATCTTATTATGCTCAGAATTTTCTATCCCAGGGAGTTGGTGCTGAACTCAGGGTCATGACTAATAACTCTGAGCCTTTGCACATAATTTCTTTTGGCTGGTATCACCATAGCAATTGGGACATCTTGATCTGCACTTTTACACAGGCAGTTGCCAGCACAAACTAAGCCATGAAAGAGTTAGAAATACCAAGATTTAAATCACGTCTCTAAACAATGAGATATCCAAAATTAATTTTAAAGATGGAGCTGACCTCTGAAATAATATATTAAATTTTATCTGCATATATTTTATTGAGAGACTTATTCCTTTCATCAGATTCTTCATCTGCATCCAAATCATCACAAAATTTTTCACTATTACATATATTACTAAGAATGTAGAGACTTAGACCATCAGGAAAATATAATGGGAAAGGATGAAATGTTAATAGCTAATACAGAAGTGAAGTTTGTGGTCATATATTAAGATTTTAAAAGTTTAAAACATCTCTGAATCAAAAGTAGAAAACCATGAAGACATACATAGAAAGCGGTAATTGTGTTTTATTTTACTATTGAGAGGAAAAAAGGAGATAAAACAGAGGTAAAGAATTTACACAAGTATCTCCTAAACAAATTACATGAGTTTGTCATAATGCGGCACTTTCAAAAGGAAACAAACCATGGATTTAGATTACTGGACACACAAGTATAAATTGTGATACCAGAAATGGATTTTTTTCAAATCTCCCATGCTAACTGCTGATGTTAGATATTTTCACATCTTGTATCCTCTCTCAAGTCACAAGTGGCCGTTGATCACAACTAGCCAAAGATAGCCAATGATAGGTAGATGGTCGTTATCCAATAACAAATGCTAGGGCATAGCCATTATTATCTAGCCATTTACACTGTTTACTGAAATGCAGGGAGCATGGAGTTAAACTGGTGCTCAAAAATTATCAGAAATATTAGGATGCCCAGCAGAGGAGATCAAGAATGTAACCAGGGCTCTATCTTCTCACAATATGGTTTTTCTTTCATACCATCCTTTCCCATTCTTCTGTCATCAGCTATGGGGAGAAGTTCCCACCTGAACATCAGAAAAGAGATGCAATCCTATGAGATCATTTTGTTCTTAAAGCTATATGTTATGTATTGGGGTATGTTTCTACTGGCTCAGCTTCTTTATCTTCCTTAGTGAAGAAATATTTTAACATTAAAAATTTTTTTTAAATAATATTTTATTTTGGCATGACTAACTAGTAGAAGGATTTTAAGTTAATTAGGGGGTGGGGTACACTGGTGATTAAACCCAGGGATCCTTTACCAATGGGCCACCTCCCTTGTCATTTTTATTTTTTATTTTGAGATAATGTCTCACTAAGTTACTTGTCCTAGACTTGAACTTGCAATCCTCCTGCCTCAGCCTTCCAAGTTTGCTGTTACAGGGGTGTACCACAGCAACCGGTATAAATGAATTCTTATTACAAGGTCCAGTAGGCATAAACATAGTATTTATCTATTTTCCAATCCTCAAGTTCTCAAATTGGTGGTACTATACTCATATCTTTATATATATTATTTCAAGGAATAAATGTTCAGAAGAAAAATGCAAAAATATTTTCTTTTTATAAAATGTTATTGGTATACCGGAAAAAACATTATTTCCATAACTATTATTAGTGAATTGCAAATCATTAAAAGCATTTTACCTGCAATATTTCTAATCATAAAAATGTAGGTAAAAGGGAAGGATTATTTACTACATGTACAGAGAAAACAGAAAACAGGCTTACAGAGGTTAGTGATTTTCTTAAAGTCACACGGCTAAGAGGAAAATCCAATTTTCCTGAGAATCTGAGCTGGCCATATATGAACATGCACAGAGATAGTTTAACTGTAATTCAAGGTTTCTTTCCATGTGTGCTCTCTCACATGGAAGACCATAAAATAGTACGAAGACCATTCATACTATTCTGAATGTAGCAGTTTTTAAGGTTTTTATAAAGACAGTGGGGAAGGGAAAAAAAAGGCAGGGAAAGAGGAATTAACATGTATTTATTTCTTTAGTTATCAAGCAGAATTTATTTTATGTCACTTAAATTCTATAATACTTATATATAGTAGGTATTAGTCCCATTTCACAAATGAGTAAATTAAAGAATCAGCATGATTACCATCTTTCTATTAAGTTTTGCAGCTTGGATTTTAATCAAGTTGTATCTAACACTAATGTGGTTCTTCCACTAATGGGATATTGTCTCAGAAAAGCAGGGAGCTGAAATTCCGAACCTTGCTTCACATGTTCCAATAAAAAAACTCTGAAGTCAGACAAAAAATATCATGCAAGAGAATTTTATTATAAATAAAAGTGAGGTGAAAATAAAGTAAAAGCAAACTGAGGTTTATGCAGGAGCACTCTTGAGAGAGGGAGAGAATGGGCCATCTCCAAGCAGACAACAACAAAGGAGACAACAGTGTCCCCAAATTTATTACTGTTTGATGTTTACCAGGAGCACTGGGGACCACCTTCTATACTCTTAGCCAATCAGGTGATCAGCTCCTTCTTCACATGTGGCGGTGGAATTTTTGACCTCAATTGGTCCTCTCTGGAACTATCATAGTGGCCATCCTATTTAGGGGGGATTTCATCTAGAGGTCAATCCCATATTAATGGGGCCAATAACTGTTAAGAAGTCATCTTAGTGCATCTGTGTTACTAAAGGAATCTTCCTTCCCAGACAAATGGAGACACCTACAGCCATAATTCCAAGATTCACATCAATATCAATGGACCTAGTCAAGAATTATTTCCTTAATCCTTTTCAATTGACGTAGTTTCAACAATATGAGTGTGATGTTTGTTTGTTTGTTTGTTTAGCTTCATATTTACCTCAGTGTTCAAACAAGGAGTGGGAAGAGAGTTTAGCTGAATGTAGGATTCTATAGCCTTTAATGTGGACTTATATGCATCTTAAGTTCTTCATGAAAATCTGTTAATGTGACCGGAAACACTATTTTCTTGATCCCAGAGTCATAATTCTTACAATGACTAATGATATACAGCTCTTTTACAACCCTTAAGTGACTTCAGTGCATATGCTATGTGTATTTAAACACACACAAACAAGGAGTTTGTGTGGGCTACCATCAAGACATATATAGGTAGGACATATGGAATTTCAAACAAAATATGGTAGGTGAATGAGAAAAACATTAAAGAAAAAACTGAAAACCATTTAATAGTAGAGGAAGTTATTTGGACCACATGCCACAGCAAGGTTTCAGCATACATAAGAGTAAAAGTATTAGAAGAACCATGACTCTAAGTAATACTAAAATAAAGACTACTGATATAGCTCAGTTGGTAGAGTGCTTGCATTACATGCACACAGCACTGGGTTCAATTCCCAGTACCAAAAAAAAAAAAAAAAACTAACTAAACTAATAACAGTTTCAATGCTAATCTCTTTCTTTCTTCCTTTCTCTTTCTCTCTTTTTCCTTCTTTTCATAGATGTGTATATATATATATATATATATATATATATATACACATCAGTAATTATATGTAATATTTTTACATTATTATAATGTATGATTATATGCTGTTTCATATATTAAAAACACAAATTACATTTCTATAAACTAAAAATATTTAAAAGAGAAAGAATTTTTGTTTTTCTAGTGAAATAAGGATTACTTTCAAAAATACCTAGCTAATTAGTACTTGAACTATGTCGTGAAGGAGACTTGAGAACAGGATTTGATTTGTGCTTTTGTAAAATAATTCCTGATGATATAAATGATAACTTTCAGATGAGTGAGAGAATCAATGTGAGAAATCAATGTGAAATATTTACAGTATCATTAACCAAAATATTGCAAAGTAGTGACCAGGGTAAGAATAGAAAAATTTAAGTTGATTTAAAGAGATGTTTAAGACAAAAGTAAATACATATAGAGAAAAATAGCTTCTAGAATAAAGTTAGACTTTGTAATTGGAAATTACACTTAAGCCAGGTGTTTCTGTGATTATATCTTGCAAATATATAAAAGAATTCTAGAATAAAATGTAGCAATAAAAGCAATGAAAGTGACTTCATCAGCAGTGGCTACATGACAAAAGACATATTAGTGCCAACGAATAAATTTAGCTTACAATAATAATCTTGTCTTATATCCATGAAGCAATGTACCAAATAGATTTCAAAATATAATCAATCTTTACTCACAATCAGAATTCTCATGCTTCTTATTACTTAGTCTATTATGTGTATCTGTGTATAAGTATTAGTTAGGTGCATAGGAGAAAATCTAGTCTGATATTCTTTATTAATTATAAATGAGTACATGCCATTATGAGGTATTAGTTATGATAATTTGGTGTAGAAATTATAATGAGAATGTAAACTTTAGTTAAAAAAATATGGATTGTATATGAGAAAAGTAGTAAATAAAATGAACTTCAGAAAAGAAAACATAAAAAGACTCAGAAATAACAATGTCTTTCATTCTGTATTGAGATGCAATAGCTTAAACTGAAATAAATTCAACTATTTTACTTT